ATATTTTGAATGCAGTGCTTCATTTTGCAAGAGATGTGAGGCACTCTGCCTTTTGTGCGTGCAATTCTTGTATTTGTGTGTAAAGTTTTGAAAATGTGTGTAAACAGCTGAAAAAAAAACAGTTAAAGTCTGCTAAATGCATACATGAAAATGTAAAAAGACTGAAAACTACTATGCAAAAAACCCAACTAGGCCCATCAAAGATGGATATTCCTGAAAGCCTGTCATTTTTTTAAAACGACAATAAAGTATGGGAGAGCTAGTCCATAAATAGCCTATTATGATAACAAATGATCTGAAAATATGTACAGTATTTATAAAAAAATTGACAGATGCTGCCCAATGACAATAATGGGTTCAATAATAATGTGAGGGGCGGAAGTGGGGTGGGGGGCTATGACGAGCATGTTCAGTGGGAATCGTGTGAGGGAGGGGACGCAAGCAGCGCAGAACCCGGATGCCTGATGATGCTCGTGTCGGATGGGGAGAAGCAATACAGGGAGAGTGAGAGCTAAAAAACAGAGAAAGGCCCCACTGAGAGAGGGGCTGCTATCCTCGCGGCCACAAGGCAAGGGAAGCAAACGGATTAAAGCCAGGCGGCTCGAGAGGATGACTCCGCGCGCGGTATCCGAGGCGACGGGAGGAGAGCGCGAGGAGATGCTGTGATGCGCTGCACATAGCCAGCGCGAGCGAGCGCGAGGGAGGGGAGAGGAGACGGAGAGGAGGCTCCTACGTTAGTTAAACATGCTCGCTTTTTGACCAGGAATGTGTTCCGCGCGAATAAAGCCTGGGATTTCTGCGCAAACACTATAGCTTGCAATAGCGCAATGCACTCTTGGATTAATTGACGGATTCATGTGACGGAAGACACCGAGGCTTTCTTTCGCGAAAGGGTGGCTGTTTTCTCCCGTACAGTTCTCCCAGATTTCCGGATGTGAGGCCTGGAAGATACCGTAGTTTATATCAGGCACGGGACGCTCATCCTTCACATCCAAACATTTATCAAAACAAAGCGAAACACTCTGAAGAGTCAGTGACTAAAGAAAGAGACACTTAGAATAATACGCGTAAAGTGTCACAAACCGGATGTGCGGTACTTTCGCAGAATAAATGTGGCCAAGTTTTTAATTAATAAATAGGCCTAGGTCACCTGCAGTTTGACAATAACTGGAGGCTACATGAATGTTTATTTTAAAGATAAAAGACCGGCGAAAATAAACTGATGACCGAACCAGGTTACCTAATACTCCTGTTATCTTTATCTGTCTTCAGCATTCATAATCATTATACTGTCGTTCGCAGCTATTATCTGATCTAGACATATAGTATCTTCCCATATACTGACAGATTTAATCGTGTCCCCTCATCATTCCTCCAGCAGCAGCTGCAACCACAGGCCGTGTAAATCGCAATAACAGCTACAGTTTGGCGTATAGGCTGGGCTGGACACGCATTTCTCTGTTCATTTTTGATATTTTCTAACGGAACATGTTACCGATCCGTTTCCACGAAGTTTAAGGAGACGCGGCAGATGTTTGGGAGTAGGCCACGGCACTGACAGCACGCCTCAGCATCCCTGTGTCATCGCTCACTGTCTGTGATGTCTGTGCGGCGGAGCTATTGCGTGAGCAGGACAGATGCCAGTGGATACATTGTGAGAATACACTGATTACCCCCTTTATATTGTGACACAAAACCGCGTTCGAACGAAATGTCCAGTAAGGAGTTGTCGGGCAGTCAGGCAGCTCAGTACGTCGGGCCCTACCGACTGGAGAAGACGCTGGGGAAGGGCCAGACAGGTAAGAGCATTTCCTCTTTGGTTAATGCATTAGCATAAATTCTGCTCTACTTCGCGCGTCTCATTAAAGAATGAATCTATTGAAAGGTTGGTTCGGCAATAAGCAAAGCGGTTAATGTGGGTGCTTCAGCTGATGAAATGTAATGAGGCACGCAGGCAAGTGACAGTGTAAGGGCAGTGTTTGAGGGAGGAAGATTATTTCATCTTTCTGGCGTTTTGTTATTGAGTCATGAGTGGCAGTGATTCATTCGTGCTGTTTCGAAGCTTGAATGTGATTGCAGGCTGTTTTTTTAATTTATTTCTTTATATTATGTTACTAGTACTTGTATTTGTTATCTAATAGTAACTAACGACTAACGTTCATTAGATGCTAGTACTTTTCCTAGGCATATCTAGGCATATTTAATTATTTAAGGTTGCTAGTTAATGGTACTTACTCTTTTGCTATCCCATTAGAGACAGATCATTGTTACTTGTAACACATTGCACATTTTTGTCTTTGAATTCTAAAGGAATCTGTGGTTCAACTTGTCACTTGTAGCTGGAACCTATTAGCGTTTTACAATAACTGTTCAATAGGTTCTTACCAGTTACTTTTCCAATAGTTATATATCTATTCTTGCAGTTTTATTTGATATTATGGAAAACTAGTAACTACCCAAACTGTTGTAACATTTATTTTTTCACTAGATACAATTACTTTTTTTGTAGGTTGCAGATAATGACTAGTCAGCTACTTTAGTTCAATTAAACAAGTAACAACTTAAATACATGCAAGGTAGTGC